GTTTCAGACTTTCGACACAGCCAAACCATATCACCCTGTGAGTTTCAGACTTTCGACCTCCAGAGCTACAAGATCATAAATTTGTGTTGTTTTAAGCCATGAGGCCTTTGTGGTCATTTGTTATGACAGCAGTAGGAAACTGATATACAGCAGTCTGTCTATATCTGTGGGTTCCGGGTTCTGCATCTGTGGATTCAACCAACCAGGAATCAAAAATATTTGGAAAAAAACCAAATGGATGGTGTGTCTGTGTTGAACATGTATAGACTTTATTTCTTGTTATTATTCCCTAAATGATACAGTATGACAACTACGTATGTAGCATTTGGATTGTACTGGGCATGCTAAGTAATCTAGAGATTATTTAAAGCATACGGGAGGATGTGTGTAGGTTATATGCAAATACCATATCATTTTCTGCAAGGGACTTGAGCATCTGTGGAGTCTGGTGTCCTGGAACCAATCGCTCATGGATACCAAGGGACAATTGTTCTTGTCTAACTGGATGATTGCTTAGTGTTTTTATGAGAGAACTAAAGAACATAGACTCTTTCCATACCCCTTAGGAATACAAAATATCTTGGGAAGGCAAAATAAAGCATGATTAACATAGAGGTTATGGAATACAGATTTTCCCCCAAAATAAGTGGAATTCTTACCTACCAATGTCCTACTTTTTGCAGCCTGACAGTATGGAAGGAGAGCCCTGTCCTGCCCATGCACAGCCCGAAGGCATACCCCGTGTGGATAGAACACCATGTTGCACATCCTACCTGCAGAACGCCTCAGGACCACACTGTCCCCTACCCATGCTCAGTCCCACTTTGCCCAGTCGCAGTGTTGGGCTCATTTTCCTCTGCTGGGTGAGTCTCGATGAGCCCTGCCTCCACTCAGACAAGTGTTTGTAGAAGGTCAGCAGATCTCCTCTTCATGAAAAATGGGTCCGCGGGCTTTCTACTAGTGAAGGTGACTGAGGGGCCCTGGTCAAGGATGGGGTTTTCAAGCATTGGTGACAGACCTGTGTGACCCCAAGCTTTATAGGCCAGTGCTGCATCTCTCTAGTCTCAGTAGGTTTCCAGGAGCCCCTGATGACTAAGACTTCAAATGTTCCTGAGGGGCAGGATATCGCGATTGAGAAATCAACCATGTCTTACCTCCTGCCATGAACTCGTTGTGAAAGAAATAAAGGTATTTTCCCTTCTCCACTCTAAGAAGGCAGCCCCATCTTTGGGTCCTAGAGGGCTGGATTTTCTCACCTTCTCAACACTTTGATTTGTTTAAAAAAAAAAAAGATCTAGGTCCAAGAGCTCAGTTGTCCAGGGAGTAAAGGAGCTGTGTGAATTTCTTGGTGCCATTATATCTAATCACCACAAACATGGTTCTTGACACGACACAACTCTATCATCTTCCAGTTCTGGAGGCTGGAAGTTTGAAGGGGCAGGGCTGGTTCCTGCTGGAAGCTCTAGGGTAGAATCCGTTTCCTTACCTTTTCTAACTTCTAGAAGCCTCCTGCCTTCCTTTGCCGGTGGCTCCTTCCTCCGTCCTCCAAGTGCATCCTCCAGTCTCTGCTTCCTTCATCACACGGCCTTCTCCTCTTCCAAAGTCAAATCTCTCTCTGCCTCCCTCTTCTGAGGATACGTATGATTATATTTAGGATGCACCTGGATAATCCAGTATAATCTCTCCATTTTAAGATTATTAATTTAATTGCATCTGCAAAGTCCCTTTTGCCATAGAAGGTATACTCCCAGGTTTCAGGGCCAAGGACATGGGCATTTCAGGAGACTATGACTGAGCAGGGGCCTGGGGCTTTAGGAAGTGAGCAGTGGTGTGACCTCAAAGAGAGCAGTTAGATTTCCCAAGCCCAAGTGGGGTGGATTTCTCTTCCCATCCCGTTCCATTGCAGCACCCTGTCAATAACAGGATTCTCATAGGATACCCAGAGGCCAAGCCCTAAGCCATGAGGCTAATGGTCTTTGCATCCAAGCTTTGCTCAGAAAGGACATGGCAGTCCACCTTCAAAGGAACCCCATGACCTGAGACAATGTGTGAGGATTCATATATCATCCAGGATGGACTGAATGTCAAAAAGACCTTTCCCCAAAATTTCTGGACAGACTCTTACAGTACTTGAGGGAAGCAGAGTGGCACCCCAAAACCAGATGAAGTGAATTCACACCATCTTTGTCAAGTGGAGTCTCAGAACTTTGTTTGATTTGCTTTAGAAAAAGTATAGTAATAGAACATATTTCTTGAATACTGACAGGTAAATTCATACATGTCTGGAGATAGGGCACGGTTGGCTTCTTAAGCAAATATAGTCACATGCCATGTAACAATGTTCAGGTCAACAATGGACTGCAGATACAACTGTGGTCCCATGAGGTTATAACGAAGCTGGAAAAGTCCTATCACCTAGTGACGTCATCATTGTCATAATACCGTCTCAGTGCAAGGCATTCCTCATGTGTTTGTGGTGATACTGCTCTGCCAGTGGTTTAAAAAGTAAAAATAAAAAAATAAGAAATTTTAAGGCTGGGCGTGGTGGTGCACGCCTGTAATCCAGCATTTTGGGAGGCCAAGGCCGGTGGATCACCTGAAGTCCGGAGTTTGAGACCAGCCTGACCAACATGGAGAAACCCTGTCTCTACTAAAAATACAAAATTAGCCAGGCGTGATGGCACATGCCTGTGATCCCAGCTACTCAGGAGGCTGAGGCAGGAAAATAATTTGAACCTGGGAGGCAGAGGTTGAGGTGAGCTGAGATTGCGCCATTATACTCCAGCCTGGGCAACAAGAGAGAAACTCTGTCTCAAAAAAATAAATAAATAAATAAAAGAATTTTTTTAAAAAGGAAAAAAGCTTATAGAACAATAATATGAAGAAATTTTTTTTTTTACCGTTGTACAATGTGTTTGTGTTTTAAGCTAAGTGTTATTACAAGAGTCAAAATGTTAAAAAATTACAAAGCTTACTAAGTAAAAAAATTACAGTAAACAAAGATGAATTGATCATTGAAGGAAGGAAAATATTGCGGAAGAGTTAGTGCAGTGTAAGTATAGTGTGTTTCTAAAGTCCACAGCAGTGTAGAGTGACGTCCCAGGCCTCCAATTCCCTCCTCACTCACTGGCCCATCCAGAGCAACTTCCAGTCCTGCAAGCTTCAAGACCAGTGTGTGATTTTCCATCTTTCATGCTGTAATTTGACTGTGTCTATTCTATTCTTAGATACAAAAATGCTTCCCATCATGTCACAGTGGCCTACAGTATTCAGCAGAGCAGCATGTTGTACAGTTAGTAGCTTAGCAGCAATGCGGTGTGCCATCTAACCTAGGTGTGTGGTAGGCTGCACCATCTAGGTTTGTGTGAGAACACTCTATGATGTTCTCACAATGATAAAGTCGCCTAACGCGGCATCTCTCAGAAGTAGCCCTGTGGTTAAGCCACGCAGGACTGTGTCTGGGTGTCAGCATTTGCATCACATCCTGATTATGTGCTCCAAGAGGCCTGCTTTAGAGAAAATGAAGTTTCTTATCACCAAGGCTTCAGGTCCCTTTCTTTTCTGGTTAATGGGGGGAAAATCCAGGCAGACAAGCCTCAGGTGATGTGGCCACTTTCATCTCAGTCAATATCAATTGGGTCCTATCAGAGCTCCCAGGCTCCTGGAATGGAATCGTTCTGTCCTTCCCCCAGTTTTAATTTCCTTCCTCAGAAAAAGGGACACGGTCTGCATTTGTGTGCAGGATGTGAGGATTGCACGGGTATCTGGCTTTCACACCTGGCCAGTTCTGAGCTCTACAGGCTGCATTCACCAGGCAAGGATGAGGAGAGAGCTGGAAATGCAGTGGCGGCGTGGGCAAGGGCAGTGCCAGTGTCCTGCCAGGGAGGACCTTGGGACAGTGGGTGCTGATCACATGGGGGAGCAGGCCGGCATTGCTCATAGGTGAAAGTGGAAATTCTCCTATTTTATTTTATTATTTTTTTATTTTTTATTTTTGGAGACAGTCTCACTCGGTTGCCCAGGCTGGAGTGCAGTGGTGCAATCTTGGCTGACTGCAACCTACGCCTCCTGAGTTCAAGCAATTCTCCTGCCTTAGCCTTCCAAGTCGCTGGGACTACAGGCGCACGCCGCCATGCCTGGCTAACTTTTTGTATTTTAGTAGAGACGGGGTTTCACCATGTTGCCCAGGCTGGTCTCGAACTCCTGAGCTCAGGCAATCTGCCCGCCTCGGCCTCCCAAAGTGCTGGGATTACAGGCGTGAGCCATCGTGCCCGGCCAATTCTCTTATTTTAAAAACCTGAAGTGACTGTCGCAGCTTCTCTGCTTGAAGGGCAGTGCATCATTCATTTCTCTGGGAAAATAAATTCCAACTGCTCAGGTCCAACTAGAAAGAAGGGGGAGGGAGAGAGGATAGAAGTGTCGCAGCCCCGCCTGCTTGGTCACCTGGGGTGGATGGCCATTGCGCAGGGAGCACTCAGCACTCTGGTGCCTTTGGCCAGGAGCTGAGCAGGGGCTGGTGGGAGCTGCACAGCCGCTACTGGTGAAATCACAGAACTGAGTCACATGGAAGGGGCGAAGGAGGCCAGAAAACCGAAGAGTGTGACCTCAGGATGAAGTGACTGGGGGATGGGAGAGGACATGGCCGTGACAAAATATCAGAGGCCGTGGAGAAATCCACCCTGTGAGAAATCCCAGCACTGGAGGCCCAGATAATATTCATTTATGTAATTTGTATTTCTGCAGGGCCGTAATACAAATATAAATATTCGCCAGGCAGGATGGCACATGCCTGTTTCTCTCTTGTTGCCCAGGCTGGAGTACAATGGCGCAATCTCAGCTCACCTCCACCTCTGCCTCCCAGGTTCAAATGATTTTCCTGCCTCAGCCTCCTGAGTAGCTGGGATTACAGGCATTTATCTCATTGATTCCTCACAATGGCCATTTTGAAAGGGGTTCTATTCATATTCCACCCCCAACTCTGGCCACCCATGGGGATTCTGCCACCACCATGGAAAACACCTGAGCCGTCCTGCTGGAGAGGTCCCGTGGAAGTGCACTGAGGCTCCCTGGCCTAGAGCCGAGGAAGGGAAGCATGGAAGAGGTAAGCAACTTGCCCAAGATGGCAGAGCCTTTAAGCTATGGGGCCTGAACCCAGGGTCTGCCATCTTGAGGACCAAACCACCACTGTCATGAGCCCGTGGTAAGAGCTGCCATGCACACGTCTGCCTTTGGGGAGGTTTCAGGGGCACTGAAGGGTAATGGAAGCCCACTGGGCTCCATGCCTGGGGTGGCACAGCAGGGAGATGAAAACAGCACTGAGAGGCAGCCAGGGAGGCAGGAAGAGGGCCTTAAAGATCTCAAAGGCCTGCAAGATCTCTTGGCGCTGGAGATTAATGGACCTCCTGGATGGGTCCCCAGGACCTTGCTTGCAGCTTGAGCTGCAGTGTTTCCTCGAACCCCGAGCTGCTCGATGGAACACACACATCCACCTTTGCATCCCTCCTGCCCATCACTCAGTCCAGTACACGGTAAGAGCCCAGTAAGGTACAGCTTCAGTGAACGAGGGAGGCAAGTCCAGACCAAGGGCCATGTCTCGGTCGTTGCTCAATAACAAACCACCCCAAAACTAGTGGCACAGAGTGACCTCTGTTATTTACTTACAAGTCTAAGCTCAGCTGGGAAGTCTTAGGCAGAGTTACTCATGAGGCTGCAGTCTCACCTGGAGGCTCACATAGGGCTGCATGGTCTAAGGTAGGGTCTGCAATCCCTGGGTCATGGACTGGTACCAGTGGCCTGTTAGGAACCAGGCTGCACAGCAGCAGGTGAGCGGCGGGTAAGCACGTATTACCACCTGAGCTCCACCTCCTGTCAGATCAGCAGACCAGGGCCATAGGAGCGTGAACCCTACGGCGAACTGTGCCAGCGAGGGAGCGAGGTTGTGGCTTCTTATGAGAATGGAATGTCTGATGATCTGAGGTGGAAAGGTTACTTGCCAAAACCTTTCCCCAGCCCATCTGTGAAACAATTGTCTCCCATGAAACCGATCTGTGGTACCAAAAAGGTTGGGGACCACAGGTCTAAGGTCTCATTCACAGTCTGGGGCTATAGGCCAAGGAGCCTCAGCAGTCTGGGGCTATAGGCCAAGGAGCCTCAGTGCTGTTCCATGGGGCCTCGCCAGCAGGATGGCTCAGGTGTTTTCCATGGTGGCAGCAGAATCCACAAAGATCAGGCCCCCATGCACAAGTACTTATCAGGCCTCTCCTTGGGTCACCTGTGCTGGTACCCATTGGCCAAAGCAAGTCATATGGCCAAGCCCAGCATCAATCTGGGAAGGGACTCCTGTAGGCCATAAATACTGGGAGGTGTGATTCATGAGAGGGCATGAAAGGTGTGACACCCACCTTAGGCATATTAACCCAGGGGTAGCCCTTAGGCCTGAATTCTGGAAGAATTCTTTTTCCTTCTTGCTCTACTAATAAACTTGGAATAGAGGTGAATTCACATTTGTATCAGTTACAAAATCAAGAACAAGTCATCTGGGCATGATGGCTCACACCTGTAATCCTGTGGCACTTTGGTAGGCCAAGGCAGGTGGATCACCTGAGCTCAGGAGTTTGAGACCAGCCTAGGCAGCACTGCAAACCCCATCTCTGCTAAAAGTACAAAAATTAGCCATGCGTGGTGGCACACACCTGTAGTCACAGCTACTTGGGAGGCTGAGGCAGGAGGATCGCTTAAACCTGGGAGATCAAGGCTCCAAGTGAGCCAAGATGGTGCCACTGTACTCCAGCCTGGGTGACAACGTGAGGCCCTGTCTCAAAAAAAAAAAAAAAAAAAAAAAAAGAAAGAAAAGAAAAAGGATAAGTCAAGGTCAGGACAGAACAACCAGAGGATTAATTATGTAACAAGTTCAGTTAATTCCTCCACAGGCTTCTAGGTCCTTTGGAGCAGTAGAGCCCACAGGAGAAAGACAAGAGACAGGAGCCCCCTGGACCCCGCCCTCCCCACCTTCCTGTGAGTGGCGTTAGGCTGGACGTTGCCTCAATTCTTCACATCCTCAGAGACAGCATGAAATTGGTTGGCATAGAGCAAAGGAGCTTTTGGCCAGGGATTTTCTGCTGGCTGTTTCTATTTACTGGGGGCAAACTAATAGGAAATTATGTTCTTACCTTGGCAACTATAAAGTATTTTCCTTCTGATTCCCTAATCCCTGTAGATGGTGCTTATGTTCACCTGCTGCTACCAAATGCTGACATTCGCTCGGACTGAAACATTATCCCAGAGGTGTGTTGTGGTAAAGTGGTTCTCAAACATCTTGGGAGGTGTAAACCTCTTCACACGGGCTCAAGACATCTCCAGACCAATTTCCTTCACCCTCCAAAATCATAAATAGAGGCCATTACAAATCTCATCCCCTGAATGGATGGGGAGAACAGCACAGATGGGTGAGCCACAGTGAGAGACGCTATAAGGAAGTTACTAACCAAAACCCATTCGGACAGTGTCCTGTTGACTTCTGAATGTGTCCGGGTCCAGGCAGGAAACAGACGACCCACACAAATTGGGTCATTTGAGAATTTAATAAAAGAACTTGCATCTCCTGCCCTTGTTTCTGACTCTGATCCTCTGTGCTCCACCTTTGACTCCAGCCGTAGGTGGAGTGAAGTTTGGGGACCCACCTGCTTGGTGCTCACATCCCTCCCCCCAGGCTGACTTTGCCTTCATCTTTACCCTGGGACTTCCCTGACACTGCAGAGACTTGGAGGCCACGGGAGCTCACACTAAACAGATGACACAGGCACAGCCAGAAACTTGCAGGGAGTTGGCCGGGCGCGGTGGCTCACGCCTATAATCCCAGCACTTTGGGAGGCCGAGGTGGGCAGATCACGAGGTCAGGAGATCGAGACCATCCTGGCTAACACGGCGAGATCCCGTCTCTACTAAAAATACAAAAAATTAGCCGGCTGTGGTGGTGGGCACCTGTAGTCCCACCTACTCGGGAGGCTGAGGCAGGAGAATGGCAGGAACCCGGGAGGCGGAGCTTGCAGTGAGCTGAGATTGCGCCACTGCACTCCAACCTGGGTGACAGAGCGAGACTCTGTCTCACAAATTAAAAAAAAAAAAAAGAAGAAAAAAAAAAAAAGAAACCTGCAGAGGCTACTGGGCAGCCTCTACCGATGGGACACGGAAATCCACCTATCTTGTGGGTGGACAGTTCTGATGCAGAATCTTCGTGCTTCTGCGGAAGGTCCTGGGGGATCAAATGCTCGATGCTCTGCTGTCGCACTGGCGTTCCCTCTGCCCTGATTTCACACTCCCTGGTCCTCCACTCCACTTCCCAAGAAAACTCCTGCCCATAAGACCTTGTCTCCATCTTAACTGAGGTGTGAGCAGAGTGTCATAGAATGAATTGTGTCCTCCCAAAATTCATATGTTGAACTCCTACCCTCCATTGTCATTGGATTTGAAGATAGGGCTTTAGGGAGGTAATTTACTTTAAATGAGGTCATATGGGTGGGGTCTTAGTCCAATAGGTCTGGTGTCCTCATAAGCAGAGGAGGAGACACAGTAGGAGTGTATGCACACAGAGACAAGGCCACGTGAGGACACAGCGAGAAGGTGGCCGCCTGCAGGCCAGGAAGATGGCCCGCACCAGCAATGGATCCTAACAGCATCTTGATCTTGGTATTTTGTTATGGTAGCCCGAGAAGACTAATACACAAGGTTTAGGCAAATCATGAAGAATAGTGTGGTACACTAGGGGACCCTGGGGTCAGTGGGGACATTACCATCCTTCATGCTAGAGGCCAGGATGGGAGAGGCAAGTGGAACCTGGACACAGAGGCTGGGAGAAGCGAGATGAGAGCTGTGATCTTTAGCCACAGCTGACCTGCGGGACGGAGCTGGCAGAATCTAGGCCCTGGCCTCCCTCTCTCCCTCCTGTCTCCTGCTACGGCCTCCTAGTGGCACAACCAGAAACCAGAGTGCAGAGGGTCCTGTTGGTGTGGTCCATTGTACGTCAGCTTCGGCCCAGAGCAGGGCAGACAGAGAAGGATGTAGTGTGGATTTAGAGGGCAAACCTGAGACTTGCAGAACAAACACAGGACCACAGCAGAAACCCCACTGTCCTAGTGGTATCCTCTTTTGTCTGAATCTTTTTAGATTCTGGAGGGAGTAGCAGATCTTTGCAGTCAGAGCTGGGTACCCAAATGTATTAGTTTTTTAGGGCTGCTGTAACAAGCTAAAAAAAACTGGGTTTCTCACAGTTTAGGAGGCTCAAAGTCCAAAATCAAGGTGTTGGCATGGCCATGCTCTCTTTGAAGGCTCTAGGGAGCATCCTCCCATGCCTGTTCCAAGCTGCTGGTGGATGCCGGCCACCCTTGGCCCTACTTGGTATGTGACTACATCAATCTCGTTTCTGCCTCTGTCTTCACATAGCTGTCGTCCCTCTGTGTGTCTTCCTCTCCTTATGAGGGCATCATTCAATTTAGGGCCCATACTAATCCAGTATGACCTCATCTTAACTTGACTATACCTACAAACATTCTATTTCAAAATAAGGTCACGTTCACAGGTGCCAGGGCTAGGACTTCAACCTATTTTTTTGGGAGGGGACACAATTTAACCACAATACCCTTGGCCTGGTGCGGTGGCTCACACCTGTATTCCCAGTACTTTGGGAAGTCCAGGTGGGCAGATTACTTGAGGCCAGAAGTTCGAGAGCAGCCTGGCCAACATAGCAAAACCCTGCCTCTCCTAAAAATATAAAAATTAGCTGGGCATGGTGGCGGGTGCCTGTAATCCCAGCTACTTGGGAGGCTGAAGCAGGAGAATCGCTAGAACCCGGTAGGAGGTTGCAGTGAGCCGGGATCATGCCACTGCACTCCAATCTAGGCAACAGAGGGAGACCCTTTCTCCAAAACAAACAAACAAACCAACAAACAAAAAAAACCAACACGACACCCAGACACCCATGGTAGGCTATATGTCTGGGAAAAGCTTTTCTTCAGCAGGGATTGAGGAGAGGGACTTGGAGTCCTAGCTAAGACTGGATCCTGAAATCCTTGAAATCCTGGGAATTGGGGAAAAGTCACCCCAAATTCCAGAGCTTCAGTGGTTCTCTGCTGTGCTGATTTTCAGCTAGAAACTAGAATTCACCTTTGGGAGCAGACCATTCTTTTGCTTTGAGAAAAGTATATGATTGCCCTTTTGTTTATGCAAAGTGAAGCAACTATTCTGTTCTGAATGATAGTGGCTCAAAGGGACCTGTGTGATAATCTCAAAGTTGATCTTCATGAGTGGCAGGTTTGCATCTTGCAGACTGTTTCAGGGGAAGGAGTTGGGCCTCGTTTCCAAGTAGGGTAAACATGGTTTCAAGTACATTCCCATTGCTTGTGGTGGAGATGGGAGAAGTGGGCAATGGACGGAAGTTACAGGCCCTGAAATTTGGAGCCGAGCTGAAGGCTAAGGAGAGATCTACCCTGAAACTCACAGTAGTATGCTGAAACGAGCTGTGTGGACTTGTAAGAGCCGATTGTAAAATTTTCAGGAATTTTCAAGCTGATTGATAAACATGGCCATCATTTAAAACTAAATTATAGGCTGGGTGTGGCGACTCACGCCTATAATCCCAGAACTTTGGGAGGCTGAGGCAGGAGGATTGCTTGAGGCCAGGAGTTCAAGACCAGCCTGGATGAGAGAGCAAGTCCCTGTTTCTACAAAAAATTCAAAAAGAATGACTGATGGTGGGCTCAGGGATGGTGGTGGCACATGCCTACTTGAAAGGCTGAGGCAGGAGGATTCCTTGAACTCAGGAGTTGGAGGCTGCAGTGAGCCATGATTGCCTCACTGCACCCCAACTTGGGTGACAGAGTGAGACCTTGTCTCTAAAAAAAAAAAAATTAAAATTAAATTATATAAGTTTACAATTAAATACATTATATTAAAAACAGAGGTCATACGTACTCAGAGCTCATTGCTTGATAATTATTTTACTACATTTTCTCTCATCAGTGCTCTTGAAGTCTATTGCACCAGTGGGGGGAAAATACAATATAAACATGTGCTATTGTGCATCTCTTCCCAACTCCATTCAATAACATCACAGCCTGGAGCTTGAAATCTACCCTGGTGGGAGCATTTACATCACAGGAATTGCAAACGCTAGGGCTCAGCCCCTCCAGCAGGTGGCTAAATGTTTACCGGCACCCCATGGCCAGACAGAGATGCTGCTGACTCTAGAGTTGTGGGCTGTCCAGTGCTGTTTGCCTTTTTTGTGCTGGGGAAGGGTAAACAGGAAGTGGGGTGTGAATCAGCATGGAAGAGCACAGTAGCCTGGAGAAGCAGGTGACAAGGTGGCAAGGGTGAAGTAGGGAAGGTGGAGCGCAGCCCAGCCTGGGATTTACAGGATTAACACTGCTGATGATTTACAGACCACAGAGGCTCCGTGATGGCAACTGAGCACTTTTGACTCAACTCTGTACCAAGGGCCCCAGAATAAAAAAAGAACCTGTAAACACGGCTTGAAGAGTCTAAGAAACAGCCTGAGAATGGGACCCAAGTCGGCACTGGGTTTTTCGTCCTCCCACAGGAAGGGGGCTCCACCTGTTGTCTCCAGGGAGATTGATAAGGTCTAAGGTCTGGAGAATCAACAGTCTCTTCTCTAGGCTTTCTCTAATACCAGAGTATGCCCAGGGGATATTCTCCAAGGGGAGTGCCATTCATAGCCTCTCGTAAAGTTACGTGTCCACAAAATAAATAGCTCATGAACTGGGGCTCCACAAAACACACTTTGGAAAGTTCTGCATTAGACACCTGGGCATCACGCAAATCTACCCAGCCAGCCCAGCACTTTCCAGCCCTATTCCAGTGCAGTGATCCATAAAGAAGGAAGTGCCTGTTATTTTCTCACACATGGCTATGCTCAAATGGACCCCTCCCTTAGAACACTTCCTCATCACTCCACCATCCCCCAAAATGGGAAGAACTCTTTTTTGAATGATTTAATAATGAAGAGCAAACTTCAGAACATTGACATCACCATCATGTGGCCAGAAAGCATCAATGAGGGCTAGGCTGCTAGATTTAGCAAATAAAACTACAGGATGCCCAGTTAAGTTCAAATTTAGGATAAGCGAAGGATAACTGTTAGCATATATGTAGGTCCTGTGCAATATTTGAGACATATAAATACTGAGAAAGTACTTGCTCTTTATCTGAGAATTTAACTGAGCATCTTGGACTTTCCTGGCAACGCTGGTGAGGGTAGGATTTTTAAGGAATGCTGTCAGGTCTTTGGGGAGGCTATTCTGGGGTAGTGGGAAGAGAACAAGCTTTGGAGTCAGGGCTGGAGGGACTTTGAGTTTGGCCACTACAATAGCAACATGAACAAGTTGCTTAACCTCTCTCACCTCCAGTTTCCGCAGCTATAAGTAATTGTGGGAGATCATATCTCCTCCATAAGATGGCTGATAGGATTAAATTTGAAAACACATGAAACAGACTCTAGTGCAATGATCAGCACGTAGTAGTTAAGTTTAACTATTGTTAGTCCCATTCTCTCCTCACACTGTTCTCTTTTATTTGGGGTCAGTCGTTGAG